GGACTGCTGAGTGTGCCTTTGTCCTTCAGGATGTGGAAATAATAAAAACTATTTCCATACTGTGTTTCTCCTAGTTATTATAGTGGTATCCTTTCATCTGAAAGATACTCACTGAATACATACTAATGTAAGTGCTAAGGAGAGAAAAAGTGGGATTAGACAGTCGTGAGTAGGCGGAATACTGCAACTCTGTATTTGGTGCTGAATAGCTCAGTAAACTGAAAAATGATCTCTCCCCAAATCCATCCAAGTATTCTTATTCAGCATGTATGTGACATTGCCATTTCACTTTTAGGATTTTGCCTAAATTAATGACTGCACTACGTTGTAACAACTTGGTTACAAGTGACACTGTAAAAAAAACAACCTTGGAATGTCTTTTAAAACATCTTTCTAAAATTAATATAGGAATAAATTTAATCATCACCTTTGAAACGACACTGGGTCCAGAGAATGTGGATAGTGTAAGGCTATTTCTTCTATCACTAGAGTGTGATCTTTCTTGGTGTTTCTATTTTTAGGAATAAGGATTTTTATTTATTTATTTATTTATTTTGTTGTTGTTCCTCGAATGCCTTCAGGGCACTTTTGGTCAGCTGGAGAGTTCTGAGGTTTGAACTCCAGCAACCTGAGGCTGACAGCTTTGTGGAAGCAGCCACTTAAAGGACTGAGCTAGGGCCAGAGCCCCCCCCCCCCCCCCCCCCCGCTGTTTCTATTTTTAACATTCATCTTTGTTTGCCAATCATTTGTCCTACCACTCAACAGCCACTGTTGTAAAGGATTTCATGAATTGTGTGTCAGCACTCTCCTCCCACACACCTCTCATTCCTTCTCTGCCTTTGTAGCCTAAGATGCAACCACCTGCTCCAACATGCACACCCACCATGACTTCCCACACTTAGCACAGGCCCAAGCCAAGAGATGCCTGATCTTGAACATGAGCTTCAGAAACCTTGACAAAATAAATCTCTTTATGTCTCAACTACTTTATATCAAGCATTTTGTTAGTGATCAAAAGCTAACAAAAACATGGAAAATAAAATCCATGAAAGAAAAACAGTAAGATGAACTTGATTAAAAATTTCCATGCAAGATACTTTTAAAAGAATATCAAAAGATGCTATCACGTGGCATTCTGCAGTGGCAAACTAAAGCCACAATGATCTAACACTCTGTATCTCCTTGAGTGGCTACAATCCCAAACTGTCATCTATTGATGCTTGGGATTCAAAGTGGTATAGTCACTTTGAAAGACAGCTTATGATTAGACATTCTTAATATATAATCCATGAAATCATACTCCCTGACAGATAACTAAAAAGTTTAAAAGATGTTCACACAGAAACTGCACAGATGTTTGTACTAGATTTATTCACAATTTCCAAACCTTGAAAGCAAATGATATGATTTTCAACCAGTGAACAGATAAAAAGCTCTATACTAATGCAATGGAATATTATTCTCTCATAATTTAAACACAAACATTTTATAGCAGCTTTATTTGTAATAGTAAAAAAACTGGAAACCACTCAGACATCTATTAACAACTGAATGGATTTTAACCATGGTACACAATGGAAGATTGGTCCAGAATACAAATTAACAAACTAGTGGTTTCTGCAACAATATGAAATAATCTTAAAATAGTGATACTACTGAAAAAAGTCAGAGCCTTCAACCTCAAAAAGGTACACACCACGATTTCTTTTCTTTACATAAACTGTCTCTTGCTTTTTGGAAATCTGGGAGGAATAAGGACTAATGGGTTATAAAGGGACACGGGAATCTTTTGTTTCCATTGGATACATTTGCTATCTTGATTATGGCAATTTCACTGGTGTACACACAGGCTGAAAACGTGCACACCTTACAATTTAAGTATTTGTAGTGTATTGGGTGTTAATTGTATTTCATAAGGCTTGTAACAACTAAGCATTCAGGGGGCTGGGGAGATAGCTCAGTAGAATAAGTGCTTGCCTGGGAAGCATAAGGTCCTCAGTTCAATCCCCAGTACCACACACATACAAAAAAACAAACAAACAAAAAAAAAAAAACCCTGAATATTCAGGCTGAAGGTAGAAAATCCTCATAACCCCCATGAAAGTCAGAAGTGCCAACCGTTTTTGTCTGTATTGTATCCCTTGCCAATCTAGGAGCGTGACCCCTGCCTCAGTGTAACCAAAGCCTGAAAAGCAATGAAGTTCATGTCTGCTTCAGTTAGCAGGGGTGGAGGTGAGGTCAGAGAAATGCCAT